ACCAGTTTACGTTTTCACTGGTAATAACCGTAATAAGATCGCTGTCTTTGCTAACACTTTATTATTGATGTATCGTTAATCTAATGAGTTTGAATTGATCCCATTACTGTTTTAATTTGCAGTTCCCCTGATTACTTAATGCCTTTGATTCTTTTTTGGATGCCTTTATTTGCCTGTCTTAGTTTTCTCTCTGGTGAATTTGTTGCCCACAACCTTTTTCTAGTTTATTTATTTCTTTGTACTTCCTCCTACTCTGGACACTAGTTCTTTGAGGATTATAATGAATATGTAATGAATCTGTTTATGCCTTTTCTTTTTAAATTTTTCTAATAAAATTAAGATTATCAGTCTATCATTGTAGGGTTAGTGTTTTGTCTATCTTGTAAGATTTTTTTTTTCCTTTTGGCTTCCTGCTTGAGAAAGTTGTCCCTACTTTGAGTTTGTAAGGATTTTGCAATTTATTAAAGATAAAGTTTTGCCTTTCTTACTTTTGTTGTTAATTCACTTAGATTTTGTTTTTGATTAGGATATGAGGAGGCAGTTAACTTGATTTTTTTCTGTAGAAGTAACCAGTATTTTCTGTATTCTTATTAGTGTATAATCCGTTCTTTTCCTTGGTGAGTGTCTGTGTCATTTATCAGGTTCCTATCCATGTGCCCACTTGTCAGGAGTGACTGTTCTTTGCCATTTTGTCGTTGTTGTGGTTCCAATGATGGTAGCATCTCTACTTGGTCCTTGGGTTGGCTTGGCTAACTTTTGGTCTCTTTCATAAAAATGTTAAAATTCATTTGTCATTTTACACATACAAAATTCTTTTTGGAATTTTTTAATTAGAATTAAATTCCCTTTGTAAATTAATTTTTGAAAGAAGTGCCAGATTGATCTGCGTTCTTCCAAACAAGGTCATTACATAATTCTCAACTTGTTCTAAAAATTACATATTTTTATCTTTAAAGCTTTGAACTTTTTCAAAAACTAAATTTTTGCCTAGATAACTTGTACTTTTCATTTTGTTATGAATAATATTTTTGAATTATATATTCTGTTTGGTCCTTGTTACATATAGCAGGACATGCTTTTGCAGTAGTGGCAGCCTTGTAACTAACTGCGATGTTTTATATAGTCTGTGGTTACCATGAAGTTAGTGATGGTCACTGCAAGTCAGTTTATTTCTTACTGTCTTGATACTTTGTTTTCTTGAATTACTTTTTTTTTTTTTTTTAAGCAATCCTCTAGTGCAATAAATCTGTGGATATCTATCATTTTAACTTTAAATTCACTATCTCAGCATTGTGTCCTATAGATTTTGTAGAGATTACTTATCTGATAACAGAATCTTTAATCCAGAGATTATCCTTTTATTTTTACTATTTTGTAAAGATTTTTTTAAAAAACATGGAATGAGCACTGACATTTATTGGAAATGTGTCTCTTAATTTCAGTTTTCTCAGTTGATGAATTGCAATACTGTTTTCTAATGTGTTCACTTCTGTGCACTTGAGTTAAACGATTTGTTCATGATGTTAAAGTGTGTGTTTTAGTTTTCCTATTTCTTGTTAATATATGTTTATTTGTACAGATCAGTGGGCCTTTATTTTGCAGTTTGGGATGTGTATGTAACTCACAGGCCACCCTACCCCCACTCTCTTCTCTTCCCAGTTTCACATTTAGGGGAGTGATTCAGTGAATATTGTATGTTCTGATCATTCTTATGTATGTCAATTTTTATTTTATCTTACTTTATTTCATTTTACTACCAGGGATCGAACTCAGGATCTTGCGCTTATGCCTCTGAGCTATCTCCCCAGCCCATCTATGCCAGTTTTATTAAAGATTTTTAGCCATGGGTGGTGGCACATACCTGCAATCCCAGCACTTGAGAGAGGCTGTGGCAGGAGGATCATGAGTTTAAAGCCAGCCTGGACATGGGTTGACACAGTCTTATTTTCTGAAACAGAGAATATAAGATACAGTTTAAAAATCAGGATATATTTAACTACAAGTGGACTTTCTTTCATGGTTAGAAATTATTGTCATTTTAAAATTTTTTTAGCCAGATTTATTTTTCTAGGAAAATCTCTTTTTTCCACAAAAGGTAAAACCATTGATCCAGATTTATTAGTGTAGAGTAGATCATTGCGTTTTCATATGGCTCAAAAATAGCAACTAAGATTTGTAGTAATGATCTTGTCCCTTGGAAAATTGAGACACATTAGTTTTCCTCAATGTGTATGATTTTAAAATTCTAGCAAGTAAGACTTCTTGAATAATATCTCTTGTTACATGCATTAGTGGGGTAGTTTTTCTTTTGGAAGATACTTAAGTCAGGGTTTTTTGTTTTGTTTTTGAAAATTCTATTAGCACATGCTTGCAATACTTATTCCATTAATCCTGGAGAGTTGGTACGTGTACAAAACAAATCTTAATTCTTTTTACTTCTTCTACTCTCTTTTGTCTTCCTCTTTCCTCGAACTTCTTTCCATCTCTAGATTTTCTATCCCATTTGAGAAACATATTTATTTGTTTATTTGTTTGCTTGTTTATTTATTTATGAGCCTGAGCCTGTTGCCACTTGCCTGGGCTGGTATCAGAGGCTCATGCCCAGTAATCTTTCTGCCTCAGCGTTAGGACACCTGGTTTGTGCTCCCATGTCTGACTTGTTCACGTGCATGAAGGGTTTGAATGTTTCATGAAAATGAAAGGATTTTTTTCTTCTGTCATTTGTCTTAATAATTAAGGATTGTACCTGCCTTCCGTGTGAGGAAGGGACAGGTGCACATGAGGAGCATGTTCTTGCCCCCTCACTTCTTTCATCTTCTGCCCACTCATGTGGACTCTGGTAGAAGAAAACAAGTTAGCCCCCTAGAGGTGCTTCATCTTTCCAAACATGAGTTAATAACATAAGCAGCTCCACTGGGTCCTGCAGCTGGTAAAACTGTGGAAGTTGGGGCGAGCAAGATAGCTCAGTGGACTAAAGCTCCTGCTTAGGCAAATGTAGGGACCGGGATTTGATCCCTGGCACCACATGCTGCCGGCCCTGCCCCCAGACGCACTTAGCTGGCCACCAAGACCGGCCTGTAATCCTAGTGCTGGGGAGGCCAAAAACAGGAGGATTACTATGAGTCTGAGCTGCGTAGTAAGACTCTGTACCAAGTGCATTAAAAAAAAAAAAAAAAAAAAAAAACTCTAGAAATGACACAGGTCTCCTCATTAAGTTTTCGTTTAGTGGTTTGGTCATGGTTTAATTATAAAAGTTCCTGAATGTCAGTGATTCCATATTTACAGTGAAACCCATTCAATTTTTTTTAAAAAAATGAGTTTGTAGGTTTAGAAAGAATAATATCCAGTAGTTTAAACCTTCCTGTGGTATGAACCCATCTTCATTTAAAAAAAGGGGGAGGCTTCTACTATCTGTGTTTTTGCAGGTACCCAAACAAGCGTAGATGTGTGTGCAGGTATAGAAATAGTTCCATGATGATGCAGATATTAGGGTGAAATTCAGAGAAAACTGGCTGTATTTTTAAAATATTTTTGAATTGGCTGTATTATTAGCTGTATTTTTGAATTACTGTGATATGCACTACTTGTTTTAACTCAAATTTAAGAATTTTTTCTTACAAGTCCTCTCATTTGCTCAGTAAAATGACGTTTTGTAGTTACTAATATAAGGAGTTACCTTTTATAGGAATAATATTTTATTTTCTTTTTTTAAAATTTAGGACAGGGTGTAGAGGGTCTTACTACATAGATTGGACTTGTAGTGATCCTCCTGTTTACATCCTCTTAAGTGCTGGGAATACAGGCACACACCACCACACCCAGTCTCAGTCGCCTTCTCAGCATGCCCCAGAGGCCGGGCCAGCGGCAGGCCCAGGGGTTAAACTCCTGGCCCCTGCATCTGCCTAAGCAGGTGCTTTAATCCACTGAGCTATTTGGCCGGCCCAATACTTTTCTTTTTAAAAGTATTGTTTCTTTTTAAAAGTATTGCAAATATAAAGTGCTGTGATTTTTGTTTTGTTTTACAATGAGCCCTAAGCAGCAGGCATTTATGTTGGTAGCACTTATTATAAACTGTATTTTAGAAACATAGTTAAACAACATTGTAGATAAAATGAATTTCTCAGTTTTATGTGTTGACTTGTTTTCCTGATGTGTTTTCTCAATGTTTCAACTTGTTTTGAATTTTGGAAGCTTGGACTAGACTACAGTGGGTGGCGAATGTTTTCTGAAAGCATAGGTAGCTTTCACTTTGGGTTTGCAAACCACACGATCTCTTGAGCATCCTCACCTGGCTTTGCAGAACTAAAGCAAGCAATATGTAAACATAGCTGCATTCTAATAAAACTTTATTTAAAAAACAGCAACTGGTTAGATTTGTGTCAATGACCCTGTTTTGCCTCGTTAGCGTGTACAGTGTGATGGTTACTGGGATTCCTGGTGAGGACTCGTGACAAGTTTTTACATAATGACAGCAGAGAAGGTACACTTTGTTGGCCTAATTTTAGAAATAAATTAACTTAGTCTTTGAAACTTAGGTGATTTTTTTTAATACCCAAATCAGACCTAGAAATAAATGTACATTTATGATAAGGCATTCAAATTTATACTTCATACTTGCTGTTACCTCTCAAGTAATGGTCATTGAAAAGTTACTTAACATAAGGAGCCCCAAAAATGTCATTTTGAAATATTTTTGTTTAATTGTATGAGTTAAGTAACATCCTATACTATGAATTCATACACTTTTCATACTCATAGGCTGAAAGCTTCGATTCATTCATGACAAGAGATATAAAAACATGAAGAAAATTCTGCAAGTGATTAGAGAAATCATGATTTAACACATGGGGAGTAATTTAGCTTCTTGTTCCTAAGTCTATTGCAATCTAACAGTAATAGCTTTATAACCAGGAAGAAAGCACACTAGTCCCTCACCATTACCGTTGGTGACTTCGTGGTCCTGACGACGCCCCTTCCCCGTTGTCCTTTGCCTCCTTCAGTTCTGGAAGTTGCTGTTCTCAGTACGGAAGGGCAGATCCAAGACTTTAAATTTCCGCTGGGCATCAAGGGAGCAGGCAGCTCAATCCAGCTCTCTGCGAACACTGTCAAACAGAACAGCAGGAACGGTAAGAGGACAGCCTGCCAGGGGGACTGTGGGGGACGCTGACTCCAAATGGCTAATTATGTTACCCTGAACAAACAAAAGGGTTACCTTCTAGAGCTCTCTAAGCATGCCTCAGTGCTTCCCCATCAACTTAACCTAAATAAAGATGCCATAGGAGTTTTCTGTTTCGTTCTTCTTTTGTTATGGCTTGTTTTATTAGTTAGTATGTTTTTACCTGCCAGTCAGCTGACTACTTTTACCTTCTTAGGGCTTGCAAAGTTGGTGTTCATCATTTACCGGAGTCTGGGACAGTTCCTCAGTACCGAGAACGCAACTGTGAAACTAGGCGCTGACCTCATGGGTCGCAATAGCACCATCGCGGTGAACTCCCACGTCATTTCCGTTTCCATCAATAAGGAGTCCAGCAGAGTGTACCTGACTGACCCCGTCCTTTTTACCCTGCCACACATTGATGTGAGTTAATGTATGCTAATGAAGTGGTAGAAGGTTATAAAACCAAAGAGGAAGGGAAACTAAGCTGACAGGCCGGGGCTACAGACGGAGGGAGAGTAGGAGGACAGGAGGGAGGAAGGACCTTTCCATTTGAATTTTAAATGTTGGGCTAGGTCACAGGCACAAGTTTATTTAAGTCTGTGAACATAAAATTAAATGAGCCTGGTTCAGTGATTATTAGAACTTAAGTGTATTCTTAATGAAAGCTAATTCAGTAATCAACAGCAAAATGTAAATGACTCTAATTTGTTTTCAGATGAAAATTAACTCTTACCTTAGCAGCAGGATATCATTGTATTAACTCTTTGTAAGCTGCAATTTTTTTTTTTTTTAATCTCAACCGATCATTTTTGGCACAACTGTACTGTGTTTTAAAAGTACAGTGCATGATTGAGGAGATGTGACTCTAGGTAAGATGCACATTCAGTACACTATTTTGGAAGACTGGCTATTAAATGTAAAATGATTAAGTGCCCACAATAGCCAAATGAATTGCTGAAGTAAGTCTGTACAGCCGTGGTCCTCGTGTCCCGGCTGCTTCAGCTGATTTGCTTTTAGGCAACCTGAGCTATCAATTGCAAGGCTTCAGATGGTTACTAAACCATTGGTTTGTCACTTCAAACTAACCAAATGAATTTTTAAGATGCCCGGCCCTTACAGAATTTCACCAGATTAAATGTGTGGTGCTAATTATTGTCAGAAAGGAAAGGACAAGGATTCTAATGTAGCATCAGTATGTGAAATCATAAGATGGAAGTTGTAATTGTGTAAAATGGGTCTTTGGTAATTTAGAGTACACTTTAGAGTGTTTCGGACTATAAAGCCCCTTTTAAGCTGGATATCTGCCTTATAGAACATAGTCCACAATTTTGCTGATGAAAAACTTTATAGTCCGAAACATGCAAAGTTTAATCTAAATTACCTTTTACACATATTAAACAATTGCTGTTGCCATCTTAGAGTGCAAAATCCTAATTTTATCTTGTCATCTTATTTCCCAGCCTGACAATTATTTCAATGCAAACTGCTCCTTCTGGAACTACTCAGAAAGAACCATGATGGGATATTGGTCTACCCAGGGCTGCAAGCTGGTCGATACTAATAAAACTCGCACGACGTGTGCGTGCAGCCACCTAACCAATTTCGCCATTCTCATGGCCCACAGGGAAATTGCAGTAAGTATCTGCGCTTCTAATTAGTAGCACAGAAAATCCCCAGCGACTCCAAGCAGCTTGTGTACTGGCCCCACCTTCAGGTGCTTATCGTCACAAGAAAGCAAACAGCAGTGTGGCTTTGCGGTCATCTCTACATTGTCCATATATCATGAGTAGTCTTGGTCCTCTGTGCTGGTGTTGCTCCAGGCCATACCCTGGAATGCCCCTTTACAGACCTGTTCTCTACAGGTTTTCTGCTTTGGGCCAGTGTCTGTCAGAGGCCACCAGGGGTTTTAAGAACTGAACCTCACCAGGTCCTACAAAGGAGACAAAGGGTGAAGTTGAGTGTGCCCTTCCCATCTGGACTGTCGGGGCCTCACTCTACAACTTTTCGCTTTAGGTTTCCTAAATCCTGAGCACACTACGTGAGGCTGCAGTCTTTGAAAACTCAGATTAGTTACTAGAGTGTGTTTCAGTGTTTATTCTCATGATTGAGAGAATGATAGCCAGAAAGCAAATATTTTACGTTTAGTGTGAAATTCTAAGCTTTATTTTTACTAGAGAGAGAGGGAGCGAGGGAGGGAGAGAGGCCCAAGGAGAAAATGAAAACTTAAAACCTGGCTTGTACATTTGTACATTAGCCTGAAAGTCATTAAAATGTCCATTTGGTCATATACTTGAGTTTGTCCTGGAAACACTTTCTGTATCTTTCCATAGGTAATCATTTCAGTCATTATTTTAAAATACATTTGTTTTTATATTATTGTCTAGGTAAATCTTCACCTTTCATAGATGATTCTTTATAAAGGTCACACTGAACGGTGTGGTATGGTCAAAATTTATTTAGTAGGGCTGGTGAGATAGCTCAGTGGACTAAGCGCCTGCTTTGGAAAGCACAGGGGCCCAGGTTGGATCCCTGGTCCCACATGCCACACTGGCCCCACCCCTGGGGTGCTCTGAGCCAGGGTGTGGTTGTGTACAGCTGTACTCCCAACGCTGGGGAGGCTGAAGGCAGGAGGATCACTGTAAGACCAAGCTGTGTAGTGAGACCCTGTACCAAATACATAAATGGAAAAAAAAAAAAATTCTGTAGTAACAAACTTCATTTGAGCACACATGAATAGTCTTCAGAAAATTCAGTATTAAAAATGAGCTATGTGTGAGAACTATTTCCGTGTAGTTGATCTGATGCTAACACGCTCTGTACGTTTGTAATTTCCAGTTGAAAGGTGGAGTGCACGAATTACTTCTCACAGTCATCACCTGGGTGGGAATCGTCATCTCTCTGGTTTGCCTGGCTATCTGCATTTTCACCTTCTGCTTCTTCCGTGGTCTACAGAGTGACCGAAATACTATTCACAAGAACCTTTGTATCAACCTTTTCATTGCTGAATTTATTTTTCTAATAGGCATTGACAAGACCAAATACACGGTAAGCACACCTGTTAAGTTTATTGACCTTGGATCCCTGAAAATTATTTTAATAGACTTGAATCCTCATGTGTTGCTGGTGCTAATATTTGACATTGGAACCTGATATAATTGACCTGGCCATGTTGAAATATAATTTGTAATAAATTAAAGGGCAGCTCAATCATAAAGTCATGTCATGAATGACTTTATTTCATGTATAAATGTAACTTCCATTTCTCCGGGTTGTCATCAAGACACATAATTTGGATAGAAGAATGTTGGGACACAGAAATGAAAAATACTATTTAAAATCCGACTTGACTTACGTAATTTATCTGGTCCATGATCCTCTTTCTGTATTTAGGGCAATTTATTGATCATCATCATGCGGTCTTGTGAGCTTAGTCATTTAATGTGTCGCCCACCTTCTGTACAGCTACATTGGAAACTTAACGGTACCCCCATACAATAGGAAAACAATCCTGTACAGTTAGAACTAGTTTATTTGACCTGAAAGCAAAATTCTAAACTTCCATTATAGAAAATATAAAAATAATATATTTGCAAATAGCCATTCTAAAGACTTATGAAGCGGATTATCAAGCAAAATGTTGAGATTTTTATACTGGAAAAGAAATTAAGTTTTTTTATATACTTTTTAAAAATGTATTTGGTGCAGGGTCTCACTGTGCAGCTTGGACTCGTAGTGATCCTCGTGTTTCAGCCTCCCCAGCGCTGGGATTATAGGTGTGCACTCCCATGCCCACCAGGTCTCCATGGCTGGCTCAGCATGCTTGGGAGCGGGGCCAGCTCAGCAAGTGGTGCTGGGGATCAAACCCTGGTCTCTGTGCTTGCCTAAGCAGGCACTTAGTCCTCTGAGCTATCTCGCTGGCCCTATTAAGATATGCTTTATCTAATCTTCAATTTCATTAAAAGTAGTGAAGTCTTACAGTGAAATCCAGCAGTCTTGGAGTCATCTGCTGCAAATTGCACGTGTCCCTCATGTTTGGAAGTGTTTTCAGCTCTTTTCATTTATGAACAAAACGCACTTAGCGGAAATGGTATTTTATATAATGGTGGTGATCTCTGTCGTTTTGGAGTGGGCTGATTGATTCATGAAATGTTCCTCTGGTGTTTTTGCTCCTTCCTCCCTAGATTGCATGCCCCATCTTTGCAGGCCTTCTGCACTTCTTCTTTCTGGCGGCTTTTGCTTGGATGTGCCTGGAAGGGGTGCAGCTCTATTTGATGCTAGTGGAAGTTTTCGAAAGCGAATATTCCAGGAAGAAATATTACTATGTCGCTGGCTACTTGTTTCCTGCCACAGTGGTTGGCGTTTCAGCTGCTATTGACTATAAGAGCTATGGAACAGAGAAAGCGTAAGTAATTGCAAGTGACCTGAGTGTTTTTCAAATGAATAATTTTTTAAAGCCTGTTAGCTGTCAGTGAGGCTCCCTGACAGGCTAAAATAGCATTTGAAAGCTTTATTGGTAAGAGAATGGGCATGCCGTGCACAAATTACAATCAAGTCTTTTGTAATTTTCTAGGTTCAGAGGATTTGTACTCTTGCAAAGCAGATTCTAAATTATGGACTTTCTTTTTAACACAAAAGATTGACCTGAAATAAATTGAAAAAGTAAATAACTTTTTGGCCTTAGAAAGATATTAAGTAAAAATTCTGCAGAACTTAAAGCATCTGACAGGCTTAACTGCTCGGTTTTGAGCTGCTGCTTCGTTAGCTCTCTCAGTGCAGCCGACTGTGCGGCCGACTCTCCTCCTGCGCTGTGACAGTGCGTTCCATCCCGTATGTTTTACTTTGATAATATTTTATCAGGCCATTGGAGGGGATTAAAATAAGTTACTGTCTTTCATTTGTAAAAAAATACAGATATTTATGGCAAATGACAGGCGGTAGACGTGGCCACGTTCCTGAAGGTTTTATTTGCCAGAGGCATGAATTGGCCTTCCAGTTGTTTTTTCCCAGATAAACTTAGTTGTGTGGAAATTTTTTTCGAGGCAAGAATGCTTTTCAATTGTGCAGAAGATGAAAGATAAGTAAAAGTGCATCCGGTATTCAGTGTTACATGAAAAATGAACTACTAACTAAATAAATTTTGCCTTACTGGGGCTGCACAGCATTCACTGTAATACTTGGTGTGTTTCACGCGTCTTTCTTGTATTCACGCATTCCTAATGGAGTGATTATATGAGTCTACGCTGTTTTGCAAGAAACACAGTATCTAACTAAACAGGTTTTTATGGGGCATGCATGTATGTTACATGCCTTACGGTTAAAGCAGATTTTGAAAGTTACGTGAAAGGCAAATTTTGAATATTACATGTAAAACTTTAAAATGGTGGAGTAATTTGGAATATGAGTTTCAAGTATTTCTTAGTAAAGAGATGTCTTAAGAATTACGGAGAGCAACTTAATCTTTTCTCCACATAAGCAAAATTGTGTGTTTTCCCCAGATAGGAAGCCTGAAATGAAAAACAGCAATTTAAAGTAAATAAACTGCTATCCTTTGTTAAATCAAAAAACCAATTCAGAATTATTATAGTTGCTCTTGCCCATCATAAATAAATTTTTGGAGGCAAATGAAGGGATAATCTTGTTAGGTTTTGAAAATTGTATTTTTGTTGTGATGTTGAGGATCGAAAGAAACTACTTAATGTTTGTTCTTCTTTGCTCATAACAGTTGCTGGCTTCACGTTGACAACTATTTTATATGGAGTTTCATTGGACCTGTTACCTTTATTATTCTGGTAAGCACATGCTGTAGTTGCTTACATTTTGTTTTAGCTGCTAGTTGAGTAGTGCTAATTAAACAAAATTTGTTTTATTATCATTTAAATATTCACATATTTATTTGCCGTATATTTTATTACAATCACCTTTGTTGACAGCTCATAGTCTTGCTGTCTCTGAAGTTGTCTCTCCTGAAAAATATCATCACACCAGAATCTAAAAATATATTTTCTTGTAAGCCATGTTACAAATTAAATGAATGTTTTAGAAAAGCAAATGAATATCACCATTCTGTCTCAACTTCCACATAGTTTAGTATTTTTGAGTAATAGCCATAGAGTATAGGAGGGTATTTAAACTGAATTAAAGAATGCTAAATGAATTTTAACCATTAGAAATAAAATTGCTGCTCTGAGACTTAAAATTCCAAATCAAAATACTGATCTTTCAGAAATTTTACTTTGAGATAAATTTGATACAAATTAGGGATGGTGTGATTACACGTTTTTAAGCTTCTTTTATCAACCTTTATTCGTATTTGAAATATAATTGAAATAAGAGCACAACTAAATTATCAGGACTTCAGTTCTTAAACCTTTACCACGTTGTTACATTATGCTGATAGGAATGTCGTGTAACCACTAAGGCTGCAAGGGAAACAAAAACAAGTTCAAACCTTACCTTTCTCTTTTTATTCTCGCTGAAGAATTTTTTTTCAAAAAAGCAGCCCATGACCATCTTAAGATATTTCCTTGGTTATCTTGTGTTTCATAAAATTGTGAAAAATTTTCGTAGCTGAGAGAACTTTAAACCCCTTCAAATGTAGGTACTTTTTTCCACTGCATTCAATAATTGTACATAGTTACTTTTCAAAGCAAAATGAAAATGGAGATGAATCTTACCGGTCGTATATTCTCAAGTGTTGTAAGAAAAGCGATTTCTGATCGTAATTATTTAATCCAGATAATTGCCTCAGTTTCTGTCCTCAGTTTATGTCTGGGCCTGAGCCTTTCTAGAATTAAATGACAAAGAGCCAACAGGAAAAAGTATGGTCTTTAAAGATACAGGCTTCCTTTTTTCCTTAAGCCCTTTACTAAATGCATTATGTCTTGAAATAAATATCTTGGAAAAAGAATATTTTGGTCTGTGAAAATGTCATGGGTCTACTTCTGTTGAACGTCAGTTCTATTTGTTTGGTTGCTGTTAGTGGTGAGAGCAGAGCATGACACCAGTTGCACTTGGCAAAGGTAAAATTAATGTTCACATATACTGAGTTTTGAGTAAGAAAGGAGACACAGGACATTTTATTGCCCATAGAAAATGGGAGTGCACTACTATCTAATAGTGACTTATTATAACCCTCAACCAAATCCTTTGAGTTGAGGTATAAAGGGCTTTTTGGAGCCTTGTTGCCAAATTAAAAACGATGCACCAGCAGGTAGCAGTCGCAGTGCAGGCCTTGGAATTCCTTGCCACTTGCTTTGCGTCCTTGTCCTCACAGCGCGGAGAGAAACTCAGTGTGGAAACAGGAGGGCGGAACAGATTCAGTGTCCCACCTACGTTGGAAGAGGACAGTACAGCATGTTTGTTGAAAATGCATTTCCTCACACATACCTCTGATGGTATGAGACATTCCGCATCCAATTTAGGTCCAGGTCTTCATAGCATAAGCTATATTATCCATCTACTGTCATTGTAAGGAATATCTTTTTAACACAAATTACTGCTATTCTTTAAAAAAAAAAGCAACATGGTTTAGCATTTCCAACTTTTCTGAATTGAAACCATTTAGCACAGTATTAAGTAGGTACACGTTTTTAATAATAATGTTCTACGGAAAAAAATAATGTGCTAAGGGAGATAAAACTTCCAACCTGTGCGTTTCTATAGAATGTCTCGCCTACAGGCACGAGCATTATTATATCTCTGAGAAAAGTGCTGGGAAGTAATGAGCAGTGGGGAACCATTAGTATGCCTGAAATGGTTTAATGAAAGCTTGGATCATGACACGTCAGGAGCTGTTCTTATCATTTGGACAGCTCCATCTGCATCATTAATAATTAATTCAGTTCAGTAAGAGTTCAGCTCACGCACTCATTTAGAAGTCTTCTTCATAGAACACCTCCCCGGCTGCCAGTCCCAAGGAGAAATAGGTTTCTGCTTGGCTAACAGCAAAGATCTGGAGATACAAGCACAGTTTTAGGGTTGCCCTTGCCAGGTAGCCAAAGCTCCAGGGAGGACAAAAAGGGTCAGAACATGTGTGGTTCAGCGCGGGTGCTTTCGAGTGGTGTTTCCGTTCTTCTGTCTTATCATATCCATGTCAGCGCTGCAAGCTGTGGAATGAATTTTAAGCGGCTAAGCTCAGGTGGATGAGATTCGAGGGAGCAGGTTGATGACCACAGAACAAGTGGTGCGATCCTGCAAACTGCTACCGCCTTGCTTTGGGAAGCTTCTTTGTATGTTCATGTTTATCAGTACAAGGTCGTGTTGAACTTCACTGGAAGTTATTTGAATCTTAATTTATGTAATTCACCTTTTGGGATTGGTGAAAGAGTGATATCGGTTGTTGGAAAAGAAAGAATGCCTCACTTTGGTGATTTACTCTTAATTGAATGGGAAAATTTTTTGCCTTTTCTGTCTGCTGTCAGCCTTTCACAAGAGGCTCAAAGAACACACACGCATACACATACAGGAAGAAGAGGAGGAGAAAGATTTAGATGAGCTTAATCCCGGAGTATGTTGCTTCAGCCCCTAAAAGAATCATCATCTCGGGTGCTGGGCCTAGGTGGTTTGCACCCAGGGACATAGCTAGGAAACGGATGCACTCTGTACCTACTGGGGGCCTCGGTGGAAACAGTTAACACATGTGCTTCGTGTCTATAATTATAGCTCTGATTTTTCCTCTCTCACTAGTGCATTGAGACTTTCAGCCTATCCCCAAATATTGCATGTAAACTCAGTAGTATTTGTTATGGGGAGAGAAGGAACCAAGCAGAGTCGTGAAGTGCACTCCCCAGAATGCGGAAGAGAGGAGCAGCACTGGGTGGTGGGGCCTGTGCCGCCAGTCACTTGCAGAATGGGGAAAATTCTGTGTTCCACCATGGGGTTTTAATTTTAAAATTCAGGCCAAACTCAAGAAAATATACTGAGGCAAAAATAGCAAGAAAAAATAAATCGCATATTCTTACCAGAAAGAGAAGTGTGTGGCTTGAAAGAACATTTATATCAGGAGAAAAATTGCAAAAAAAAAAAAAAAAGAAGAAGAAGAAGAAAGGAATTGAGATTCGCAGAGTGGGTTTCGCTTGAAACCAGCCTTTTCTTTGTCCTAGAGTGACTATTGTTTTGGACTATGTTCTGCATCCGAGGTGTCTTTAGTTCTCCCTCTGTTTCTGGTATGCATTGCTGTCATGTGTAGTTTAAGAAAAGAACAGAGAAAAAGAGAAGTGGGCAATCTATTGAAATATTCTACCCTGCAAATCATAGCTCTTGTAAGAGTGTTTAACCTCGAGAAAAAGGTCAGAGCAACAATATTTATTCTACGAAATTTAAATGTAGCACTGTACTTTTTTTAAGCATTGAACAAGGTAAGATAAGTGTAAAACCACTTAATTCCAGGGTATACTTCACTATTACATATATTAAGGCTAGTATATTAAATTGTTCAATACCCACATAATGCAAGTATTTTTACATTTTTAATACCTAGCAAATAATATATTTTAATGAGTTGTGAGGACGCTTGGCTTTTTCTTGCTATCTTATGATTTACAACATGTCTTCCATACTTTTTCATAATTACTGTGTCTTGCATTGATGTTGTTCTGTCCTACGAAATACACTATTGCTGGTGTGCCTTCACCAGATTTCGGAGGCTAACACGGCGCTTATATAGCACCTAGTTGAATTTTTGCATACTACGCACTAGCCAACAACTTTGCTTCATTTGCACTTGCAAAATAATCTAAGTGCGAAGTCCTTCCAGGTTTTAGTGATTCTAATTTTCAGTATTTTAGTTGTCTTAAAGACACGGAGCTTTTCAAAAATGTTAATTGTAAGTATATTAAGAGGATAGCTTTGAGATTTACGTCTTGATATTCGCACTTGAGTTTTCTAAGTGTGTGCAGTCTCCAGTTGTGCAAGAGTGTAAGTGAGCAGGCCTGGCACAGGTACAGGACACTGTTGGTGGCTTCCAGCCTGACCAGCAAGGAGGACTGAGGGTGGGGGCTGGTGGCACGCCTTGGGAAGGTTGTTTTATAAAGGCAATCAAGATCCCTTAACTGTGGTAAATGCGTGAGCCAGAAGTCATTTGAAGATTGTAACTGTTACTGTATTCAGGTTTTTGAGGGAGTGTTTTTATATATTAAGTTATTATTTACCTCTACTATTGTCATCTCTGAGATATTTTTAACTGGGCTAGTCTTCATAAAGAGAGCTTGTGTAGCTGTGTTTTAAAGACTCCTAACTTCCTCACCCAGAACAAATTGGTTAATTTCATTGGAACTAGACCACCGATGCTGAGTCGCGGCCCTGACGTTACAGCACTTGAGTGATCTTTGGCAGGATACAAATCAGAACCTTGCAGGTGCGGCCTGCTACCTCCAGCAGCAGGTGTGCAGAGGCTGTTTTTCCTTGGCCTTTCCGGTATTTTCTGAAATTGTCAATGTATTCATTGGAAGAAAATACAGCATAGCAAAGTGAAGGAAGTAGAGGGAGAGAAAAGCATCTAACGATCTTACTTTCTAGAGAATTAAAGGAGAGTGTTTTCTGTCACAAATTCAACTTGGCTAAGTCTTCAGTCTTAAAAAGAGAAAAAGATTTTATCATCGTTCTGCTTTAATTTCATTCCTATATAAGTAGATTTCATTTTATTTTGGTTGTATTGCAAAATATTTTCCATCTTAAGGGATCTCTTTTTAACTGACTTTGCTCATTGAAAAAATATTCATTCCAGTGATTTCATCCATGGGCCATTAATATTTCATACTTAGTTTTTTCTTTTTATGGAAAAATGCTTTGTGCAACCATGTTTTTCACCTTGTTGTGATTTTATACATTGTACTCAACAATTAATAACTTTTCACTTTATTCTGCCACTTCTACTTTTTTGTTCCTTAATTGAAGAAAGGATAATTTATGTGCTCGGAAAATAATGAATAACGAACTGTTGACCCAGTAAGCTTCAGGATATGAGGGATAATCTTAGATCTGAAAGTTTTAGGGAAAAAATGTTATCGGGTCATTAAGAAAGAATGGAAGAGAGAATTAAAAGGATTTTAACCTAACCGTTGTGGTTGTTTTGTTTACATGGATTTTGATTGGTTTACTTTTTAGAGTATGGATAAAATTTTTCTTTCTACCCATTTCTTAATTTTACTAGTAAAAGCTGTTGCAAAACATATAAAAATAATAATACTGTTCATTTTCCATACTGTTCGATGTTATTCTTTACCAAGCTAGTCTATATTTACTATATTATCAGATCTCTAATTTTTCAGAGGCAGAAATTGTGTCTTCACCACAGCAATATAAACATCTCTGTGTGGTGCAGACAGGTCAATATGTATTTATTGAATGAAATGTTAATGTATTGTAACAGCCCTGAAAATATAAGCATTTATTTATGTTTTGATGAAGTGTAATGACCTTTAGAAAATAAAGTAAGTGTTTCTACAGTTTAAAGTACTTTTTGTCTAGATAAATACTTTAAGAAATTAATTTTAAATGCTTTGAGGCAGAGCTGCTTTTGTCCTTAAGTAATTAACATTGAAGGGCGGAACGCTATCTGCCGACACTTGCAAGTTGTGCCCATTAACCTCATTGTTATCCCTTAAGAGGAAATTCTACAATTCAAAGAAATAGTAGGGCATAGTAGACAAGATAATGAGCAGCCTGGAGTAAAGCCTTTGCCTGTTCCCATACTCAAAGTCATCATTAGGAGATATTGGGAAGGGCCAGGAAAATGGCTCAGTAGAATAAGTGCTTCCCTGGCAAGTGCAAGGGCCTGAGTTCAATCCTCAGTTCCGCAAAAAATAAAATTAAATTAAATTTTAAAAAAAGAAAGAAAGATTGAGAAGTTCTCATTTATTGCCCTGTATGATCTCTCCCCGTTACAAACTCAGAAGCAGTGATGAATGAGTAAAGTAATGCTGTCATCTGGCCAGGTGGCTTTGTGGCTTAGTAAAAAGGATCACGTTACTTTAGCAAAGTTGTGTTGACTATCTGCCAAGATGGAGTTGTATTCATCCCTACTTTAAATGGGTCCTTTACTAAATGTGTTATGTGGGGCTTGTACTGTAAGTCACGCAAAGCTCTCAAAATAATATTGTTTCTGTTCCTTTTATAATAAGCCAATGTAAATAAAAAGTTAAAAACTCCAGAATTAATATAGCTGAGTTCTGTTTTTCAGCGTAGAAATGGAGTTGCATCTCCTCAGCATACTGACAGGTATCTATAGAAGTAGATGCAGATTACCAAACTTTATCCTCCCTCAGTCAAAACATAACCCTTGCAGCCCGGGGATATAGCTCCATAGCACAAGCTGTTGTCCGACAAGCCCAAGGTCCCGAGTTTGATCCCCCGTACCACAAAAAAAAATAATAATTGGGGCCAGCAAGACAGGTTAGTGGACTAAAGCACCTGCTTAGGCAAGTGCTGTGACTGGGGTTCAATCCCCAGAACCACATACCATGCCAGCCCCACCCCAAGGCCAGGCTGAGCCAGGGACTGATGGAATCTAAGCGCGGTGGTGCGCACCTATAATCCCAGCTTTGGCGAGGCTGAAAGCAGTAGGATCATTATGAGTCAGAGCTGTGTAGTGAGACCCTGTAACAAGCAAATACCTTTTAAAAAAAAACATAACACTTTTCTTCTGTATTCGCTCTTGTTAGCTCCCTAGAATGCCAGGCCTTCTGCGTCAGGTTCTTCCCTGTCTTGCCCAGTTTGCTTTTGTTCCCACCTGTGTTCCTTTGCTGAGTTCAGAAGGACGTGAAACAGCCTTTTGTCAGAAGTTGCCAACTTTGTTGTAACACAGAGACAGGAGGAGGGAAGAGCAGATTGTCTTTAACAGTCGGGTAGAAAATCTAAGGGCTCAGGTTGTAGCTCAGTATTTAGAGCTCTCGTCTAGCCTGCATCTGGTCCTGCGCTGGTTCCTCAAGCCTGGGATGGGGCAGAAGGGGTGTGTGTGTGTGTGTGTGTGTGTGTGTGTGTGTGTGTGTGTGTGTGTGTTAAAGGTTTACCTTCATATAACCGATGAGCAGTTGTCATCTCTTGTATTTCATTTGTTCCTCACAGTTACTTTAGAAAAAGCCTGCGGATGTTATTTATCTCATTTAATAATAAGTCAGAACCACGCGGCACTGAAGCATTATGGTTCCAAACCTACCTTCCACTGTAGGTTACATGATGTAAATGGTCCTTCAGAGAAAGTCCCTTCAGTGTTCACCAAATGACTTTTTGGGCCCCGGAGTACATCTAGCTAAAGAAACTAATTTAGGTTTTCTAATTTATTTAATCATTACCACATGATACTGACTTAATGAGGTTGCAGTTTCGTGTCAAATGATCTATTAAAGAATCGATCATACGTAGCTGGAGTGGTTTTTTAACATACACTGAACTCGATCATTGCATACATAAACGAAAATTAAATCAGAGTCTGCCATATTATGTGTTGCTGATATTTACCTGCATTGACTCTGTTTTGCAAATGAAGTTTTCGCTTTCTGTAGTGATCTAATTCAGTGCTTTTCATAACAGCTAAATATTATCTTCCTGGTGATCACATTGTGCAAAATGGTGAAGCATTCAAACACTTTGAAACCAGATTCTAGCAGGTTGGAAAACATTAAGTAAGTATTTTGTATTTTAATTCTAATATTTGACAAGCTAAGTGAAAGATATTCTCCACAGGGAACACAAGTATTTTTTGCCTTCTGTCAACTGTAGAAATTACTCAGAATGAAGTCGTACAGATCAAAGTTGAGTGTCATTGTTACTGTGTTACAGACATTGGTCAAAAATGAGGTAATTCTGTCTTGACCTAGAGTGGAGAAATTGTCTCAGTGGCTTTGTGAAAATTTAATATCACTGTAGCAGTGTCATTTGAATTGAAAATGCAGTTCAAAATGAAGTTCCTGTTTGCATGGCTGATACGATTATATTAAGTTTGTTTTGTTAAATGACTCTTTGATTTAAGGATTCTGAGCAGATTCTTGTCCTAATCTTGTTTTCCTAAGAGAATTTACTCTATTACTATCGTTAACTTGAAGATTATCTGTTGCTTTCATGCTAATTAAACAAATGTTTACTTTAATCTCGATGTTGAGTAAAACCGCAGTATCCTATCAATGGAAAAATGCTAATTGACAAAAAATTGATAGATATTGATTCATTAAGTCATCTTAGGGAAAATTTTTTAAAATACAAATCTTAATGTAGCAATAGATGAGGTATTCAAGCCGGTTGTCGTAGGATTATAACTATTGAAGATACTATTTTTAATGTAAACATGGCAGATCAAGAGTGAGGATACTTTTTAAAAAATTAGCTGTTTGGACTAGGTTAGTGGCAGCTTCATTGCATGTTGCATGATAAGAGAGAGAGCTAATCTTTAGCATCTCTCTCTTTTCTTCCTTTCCCTCTTTCTGTCTTCTCATCCACACCAGTAATTACCGTGTTTGTGATGGCTACTATAATACGGACTTACCTGGGTAAGGTAGAACGCTACATTAACAAATGTATGGCATGATTTATATTTTTTACCAATCCGTCAATATCATGAATTGCCCTTAATTTTTATAGTTATTTTGGAATATCTAATTTGCTGTAGTATTTTTAAACTATAATATGCCTTTATTTTTTTAATTGCTTGCCTCTGCATTTTGACTTTCTTAATTTTGACTAATTTATAAAATATATAAATGCTTTCTTATTACTTTCTATTTTAATTCTGTCTAATAATTTTGTTTCTCTTTTCTGCTTATAATGCTTTCTAGCTATGAAGATAATAAGCCATTTATCAAGTAAGATCATTAGTTAGACGTGGAATGCCCTGACTTGAAATCCTGCTCATTGCCTCCTATTTTCTCCAGTTCTTTTCTCCTTAAGCTATTCATGATGAAATCTCTCCAAAGTTATTTTATTTTGAAGTTGCTCATGTTTTTATCTCATTTCAGCTAGGCTCCTTCATGCTTGAGTTATCAAACCTTAGGTTCGCCTAAGACTAGTTTATTAGAGCCTGAAGTTTAGGTGTTCAGTGACTTATCTGCCATTTAACCTTTCTGTCTGTGTCACATTATTCGATATCATGAGTACACCGCAGGGATGAAAACTTGGAAGTAAGCTCATTAAGGGCTCCTTAATTTCTTTAACCAAACTGTACATAAAAAGCAACCAAATCATGGGGGATATTTTACACCTTGTATTTTAATATAGTTCTGATACCTGTTTGTTCTGGAGTAAGAAAAGTTCAGACCTGCTGTTGCTGTTTTCACTGGAGGCCGCAGTACTAAATACCATTCTTTCTTAACCAATGAAAGGTTAAAGACAAAAGGCTGTTGAATTTGAATGTGAACGTAGAGAAAGTCAACCGCTACTACTGATATGTTAAGAAATAAGCTTGCTAAGTGTTTTTGTCCCCTCCTGGAACCTGTTAAAGAATGCACTTTATTTTTTCAGGTCTTGGGTGCTGGGCGCCTTTGCTCTTCTGTGTCTTCTTGGCCTAACCTGGTCGTTTGGGTTGCTTTATGTTAATGAGGAGACTGTTGTGATGGCATATCTCTTCACCATCTTTAATGCTTTCCAGGGAGTGTTCATTTTCATCTTTCACTGTGCCCTCCAAAAGAAAGTAAGTAAAGGAGAACACCCAGGGGCTCAGCTTGCGTGTTCTTTCTTTTGAAAATAATAGAAATCGTTGACAAGATTTTTCAATTGCAGTTGGTTTTTCTTTTTTCCTAAATGTCTTTAATTGCAACTTCATGTCAATACTCATCTGGAAATGGGTGTGTAAAATTAGACAACCCTAGTCCTCTTTTGGATCTCAGTATGGGAGTGAGGTAAACCAGATACTCAGGTTAAGATTTTGGCTTTTCTGGTAGCTTCTGTAAAATGTTACATTTACAGGGCTAAAAAAAAAAAAAAAGTGCTTGCTAACAGGAATGTTGTGCTCCAAAGTGACATCAAGTATCAGGAATAAATCATGTTAATTTTAAAAGCATGAGACATTCCCAAAATTAATTGTAATGTTGCCTTTTGAGAATTTTGAAAGATCTAAATGCACAAATTCAGACCTCACATCTTAGACTTTGTGCTGATTTGATAGTAAGTGAAAGTCAGCAAGAAAAAAATCATAATCTAAAGCTGAAGATAAAAAAGTCTGTAGTGAGATATAACCCCAAAGGCGCTGCGTACCTGTCGTTTGCCTTTAAAATGTGCCTTTCCCAAGGCAGCATCCTCTGGGGGCCGCATAGCTAATGCAGTCTTTTATTCTTTGACTACTGGCTGGTCACTAAATTGAACAGAGAAGTAGAATTGTGAAAGTGAAGACGATTATGTGTTCAGGCCTGACGAGATGATAGTGTTGTTACTCCCATCGGTTTTAAATAAGCTGTAATTTTGAGATAATGACAGGGGGACGTGCAGTGCTGACGCACAACGCGCTTTCACAGCAGGATAGGCGGCAGGCTAAAGCAACACCGGAGCCTAGTATTTGGATAAAATACCATTTTGATTGCCATTGTCTTGGGCTTTCCAGCACTTCAGGCCAGTTAATAGCCATGAAATGTGTAGAAAAATCCTGTGAGATATTAATGTGTTAGATAATCGCTGAACTTCTAGTTTCTTAACATTATACAGGGATGACCTGGGGTTTATGTCATTCTTATGTAAATGAATATTCTGTGTACAAGCACATGACCAAATGTTCATGATTTATGAGCGATTATGCCAAACATCTCTGACATAAAGCATCAATTTAGCAGAGAAAAGGGGAAGTAGTCATTATTTCTTCCTATAGTTCCATGAATTTCATGAACAAGTTGTTGGTACTAAGCTTTTAACATTAACAGCTACCTTTTAAAAGCATGCTGCACTTCTTTCTAAAATGTTGCACTTAGTGTTGGATATATCTTACAGGTGCCGGGATAGATTGCTAAGGATATGATATTAAACAGTTAAATTAAAACTGGTTCGGTTCTTACTACTAAAATAAGCATATTTAGGCCATGTAAAAGCTCGACCACATTGTTATTTGTTCTAATAGGTATAATTAATAAAGTCATGATGGTAAAACACAAGTGCACTTAGATTTAAAAGGCCATCTAGTGACTTTAATTTTCTAATTGGGCAAGGGATAAGTATCACAGTCATTGTCTCTGCAGGCAGGTAACTTAGAATTATAATTTGTACTGGCTTTTTATAGTCTACTAGAAAAAAAAATCTTCTTATGCAATTTCTGTTCCTTGTTTGCCTTGTAACTTCCAAAGCCAGCTCGTATGTATAGTAAAGCATATATCCATGCCAAGGGACGCTCAGTCCAGCAGCTTCCCCCTCCTCCCTGTCCTACACACACTACTCAAGGTGAGGCTTATTAATTAGCAATTGTTCAGACTTCACTTCTTAAAGGTTGGTTTTAGCTTCCTTTAAACCTAAAAACTTTTATATCTATTCATTAAGCTTTAGCAGAAAAGGGAAATTATATGACTGATTCATGCGAATGGGAATTGCATGAACAGTTCTGTTGGGTGCTAACATAGTGAGCTCAGATAGCTTAGACTCTGTACCCCAAACGTTAAAGCTGGAAATGACCAGAAAACGAAGAAAACATTCCATCCTAATTATTGGCAAATGTCTCAGAGTGCCTTGCCCTCCCCCTTTGTTCTTGTGCCAAAAGAGTCTTGTCATTACAAACAGGTTACCCACGAGACGTAGCAATTCAGTCAGAGAGGTGCTGTGTTACCCTACCTAGGAGACGTGAATCCTTACAGCGAATCCTCACATCGTGAAGGACTGAGTTATGGGTTGGTTAGACATAATCAAGCACTGAACATGGTGCTGCATGCCCGTAATCTCACTTGCTCTGGAAGTTGAAGCAGGAGAATTACAAGTTGGAGACCAGAGTAGGCAATTTAGTAAGACCCTAATTCAACATAAAATAAAGTAAAAAAAAAAAAAAAAAAATACAATTTAACGAGAATTTTTAGGTTGCACAAGGTAGGAAAATACCAAATTTTATTTGCCTTTCTTAGCACCAAATAAAAAGACATAAGTATGAAATATATAAACACAGAATAACATTTTAAATATATTGCCATTGTATGAATAACACTTGCACAATAATAACAGGGTACAAAGGCTTTCCCTACATTAAGCAAATTTTAAAGGTCTCTTCTAGCAGATAGACATACCTCTGACTGTACTTCAGTGATTTCAGTCGAATTTGGATTTTTGTAAGTCCACTGTATCTTCTCCACACATAGGTCTTAGTGGAACTCTTAGTTCTTCGCTGTTGTCTTCCCTGCTCATATTATTAGAGAGAGTGAAGCAAGCGTCCTCATGTTAATCCCTTGGTTTTGTGATTACTCATTCAACGCAGGTACGAAAAGAATATGGCAAGTGCTTCAGACACTCGTACTGCTGTGGCAGTCTCCCTACTGAGAGCCCCCACAGTTCTGTGAAGGCGTCCACCACCAGAACCAGTGCTCGGTATTCCTCTGGCACGCAGGTACCGAAGAGTTTGACAGCATCTTTAATTAACCTTATTTATGGAAAGTCTACTGAGACATGTTCTGTTTAGATGCACTAATTATTTCCTCATTATAATGATCCAGGTAGTAAAGACCTGGTTCTTTAGGATTTGGATTGTAATTTCTTTTTAAATATGTACTCAAGGTGTTTACCTAAGTGGAAATGTTCTTCTTTTTTTTGAGGAGCCAGGTTCATAAGGAAGCATGTCATACCCTCTCATAGTTAAAATCCTAAGGTCAATCAGGGTCCATAGTGCACACTTAATAAATATTTGTTGAGTACCCGGTCATCATTGCCACTTTTTTTCTTTTTAAAGACAATAATACATTTTTAAGAGTGGAAAACTCAGTGCCCCTTATTAAACAAGCAGCAAGACAGTGTAGATATTCTTGGTTTTAGAGCAGAAGCTATCCATTCTGGAGAAGGGCGATGGCTGATCCTACCCAAATTGCTCAGTCAGTCTTCATGTGTTCCTAGTAAGGGAGGTCTGGGGAAACTAACCTGTGTGTCTTGCTGTTTCCTGTTCATAGAGTCGCATAAGAAGGATGTGGAATGACACTGTGAGGAAGCAATCTGAATCTTCCTTTATCTCAGGTGACATCAATAGCACTTCAACGCTTAATCAAGGTCAGTCGCTAGGAGATGCTGAGCTCACAATGTACAGTACCAGTTTATTCTTTTTGCCAACTTAGAATAACTCTAGAGAAAATACTGAATTTGTCTCTTCGGGGTTTCTGTGACATGTTCATAAACCACTTGAATCATCATTTATCGTCACATAAAATCAGTAATTTTATTCAATAACGTCATGCCAAAAAACAATTTTAAAACTCCTGTTAAGGAGTGAAGGCTGAAAAAAGTCAGGGTTGAGAACACATTTTGCCAGATTTGATTCTTTCCTAGTACACATTTTTTTCCTCCTAAACAAGGTATTTATGAAAATTTTCTTCTCAAACCATAAATATGATTAGAATACCTACTATTCATGTGAAAGAGTGCCAATTTTGTAGTGGAAAAAATTATAACATTTTTATAGCATTTTTTTCAAAAAGCAAATAATAAATGCTAAAATATTTATAGTAGATCCTGACTTAAAAATTAAAGATTATGCAAATGTATACAATAAGTTCTGTTGAGATAGTTCAGCAGACTAAGTGCCTGCCTGAGCAAGCGTGGGAACCAGGGTTCAATCCCCCGAATCGCATGTCATGCCTGCTGGCCCTCAGGCTCACTGAGCCAGCCGCTGAGACCAGGTGTGGCAGCACACACCTGTAACCTCAGAGCTGGGGAGGCTGCGACAGGAGGATCACTAGGAGTCCAAGCTGCATAGTGAGACTCTGTACCAAATACATAAAAAAGGGGTAAAAAATGCATAAAGTAACTTTTTATACATTGTTTGCTATGTCTGTAGTGGCAGCTTTATCTTACAAATCAATGTAACTCTTAAGAATATCCTGAGAAATAAAATAATTTTACAAGGTACATGCACAAGTGTATCATACACAACAAGTATTCGTGAGTAAAAGCTTGGTAGATGTCATGCATATATCAAATAAATTCTTACCGCTTAGGTCGTTGGGGAGGTAACTTATCCAGGTATCTTCAGTGTGATACGCTGAAGTATAACATAGCAAAAGGAGAGCTTATCACAGTGAAATATCCACATCGTTCTGGCAGGATTCTGGGCCAGAGTGCAAACAAAGGAAGTCTACACGACATCAAAACAAACCTGAATTTTAAAATACTGTTAGTCAAATTGCATTAGCCATGCGAAACGTGATTGCTAATTTATCAATTAGAACGAGTGAAATGTGTATGCTTGTTCCATTGCTTTGATGTTCTGCCTGGCTCTGCTAAGATCTTATCAAATCACAAATGAATTGAAAGATGAACTTTTGAAACCTGGCGAATAAGATTACAGAACAGAAATTCTTCGCTAGAACTTGGGAGTGGCCTAATAACTCGTTGTGCACTGTTTCGTCCCTCGGCATGTATGCTTCTGCATTTACTAAAGGAAGCTTTGTGCAGTGTGTCTTAATCTTTAGCTGTTTGTGGAAGTTGTTTTTCCTCCTGCTTGTATGAGGCGGTATTAACACAGATGTTTCCAGGAGGGATAATCCCACACCTGTAAACCGGAAAGTATTTGATTCCCTCTTCTGGGCTTCGGTGGTTTCATTTTTAATATTAAGCAGTAACATCTTGAAACATAATGTTGATCTCTATGCATTTAATTGCCATTTTTGTTTAACAGTGATTTTGTATAAATTAGTAAATGTCATCCTCAGCAGGTGTTTACCTGGGGGGACAAGAAAGCACCTGTGAGTCACTGAAACGTAACTTCCCTCTCCGTTTCCTCCTTCAAATTAGTAGTTCAAATACAGTCAGAAAATTTCGGCAGGTTTACCATTGCCAACTTGTCTGCTACCCTGATGCACTTAAAAAAAGAGAAAAAAGAAAATTTACAACTGTAACAAATACCAAAATAAGAGAACTAATGTATTTTTTCTATTTTTTGTTTGTTTTTTTGTTTGTTTTTTGCTTTAGGAATGACTGGCAATTACCTACTAACAAACCCTCTTCTTCGACCCCACGGCACTAACAACCCCTATAACACATTGCTCGCTGAAACCGTTGTATGTAATGCCCCTTCAGCTCCTGTATTTAACTCACCAGGTGTGCTTATACTTACAAATAAAACTACCTTTATTTGCTGCTAAAGAGCTTCTGATCTTTGCCCTGTTTGTAAAATACTCGAGTTGCCATATTTATTATTGTATCTTTAATTTCTCAGTTACAAAGAAAAGTATGGTATCGCCCATGCCAGGCTCCTAAAACTGCACTATATTATAGTAAAAGCTCGAGTCGTGATAGTATTTACAGTAATTATCCATGTTTTTAATACAGGTGGCATAAATCTTAATATATTATTACAGGACTGACATCACATGGTCCGAGAGCCCATCTTCAAGATTTATATCATTTAGAGGTATCCTATCTATGTAATATATTGTTCAGTTGACTCTAAAGCTTGCTGACAAATTTGTTTCTAGAGTAAACTAGCTAATAAAGAGCATTTGGATGTCTAGGCTTAGGAAACTCTACATCCGGCATTATCAATGTAACCAAACTATAGTATAGTGCAGCTTTATTGTAGTTGTCCTTTTGTCTTAAAGAAACTTGGAGAATACAGTTAATAGTAGTCAGTTTTATACCTGTGCTTCTTAATTGGGGGGAGGCGGGCATTGTCACTAACCTGTCCTATTTATTGTATTTTCCGATAGCTTATTTTTAAAGATTATATTGAATATTAACAGAATTTTCAACGTTTTGATAAAAGCGATAACAGAATTACTGCTAGCATATAAGTTTTATTTGTGAATAATATTTGCTACTAAATTAAACACAGAACTTTGTTTCTGTTTTTTTTTTTCTTAAGATTCGTTTTTAACGTAACTGCAGCTTCTCTTTTCATTCTCTTCTTTTCTTACTTTCCTCACGCTCTCCTCTAGCAACCTACAGAGAGACAAGTATGGGAGTAAAACTTAACTTTGCCTATCAAATGTAAATTTTTTCAGCATGATTTTTAACGGGCACAATTAAAACATAACTAGCAGTCATGAAGTAGACTCAGCGGGCAAGTGGTTCACAATTTGCACCCAAAACATTCCCAAATTCATGCGGTACACCTCTCCGTACTGTCTTTGGTCAGTAATTGAGGTCTGTAGCAAACGCTGTCCATACTTAAGCCTATCCGATGCTGAAATAATTTGCTCTCGAAAGCCTAAAGTTCTGTCAGCCGAGATGCTTAATGATTGACTTATCATTTCTGCACCCCACAGTAATCTTGCTACAGGCTGTGGACAGTCTTCAAGTGAATTACCTGAACTTGGGCAGAAAAAGATTCCTCTTCAAAACCAGAGAAGCCTTAAATCTGCAGTATATCATAGAAAACACCTGTGGGATTATATCCAGCATATAATTTTATATTTAGTCAGGGATGATAAAAAATAAAATGTTTGGAAAGAGTGAGTCTCTGCAGAGGGAACGAATGCTGTTTGTTTTCTCTATGTCCCTCGCCTACAATTGAAAGTGCCAAATGCTGTCTGGCGGTGCATTTTGTAGATAAGATCATGGTACGTGATACTAATTGACACACTTGAAAGGTGTGTCCTGCTAAGGCAGGCCTTACGGGCAAGCCTTGTAACTTCCTTGTCGCAGGGATCAGGATACTAACTGGATTGGCCATTTTTTCAAATGTAGAACCTGATGGGTCAGAAGTTTTAAAATAATCTAAGTATCCTTCATCCTCATAACCTAGCCGACAGTTATCAGACGGGATAACTGGTCGTGCCCTTGTGCCTTACAGAGACTGGGCTTTTCTGTTTCCTGAACGACACTGAGTTTTCTAGGATATCTGCAGCTTTAAGTGTGGAGTGAGCACTCCGAGGAAAATTTCCTATTCTTTCCCAAGAATCAAAGTTTTCCCTAAACTCCTCCAAGCCTTGCATACGATGCAGCAGCCTCACAGTGGTCAGTTTCATTTCAGTAACACCATTCATTCTTTTTTTTTTTTATTTTTTTACAGACCTATTTGTAGACAAGTGATTTTTTTTTTTCCTCTAGGATTTTAAGAATGACTAACTCAACTTTCCATTGTGCAGACCATTTAATTTTCTCTTGCCTTTTCTTTTTTTTTCATTTGCTTGAGAAGCACTGTGATGTCCTAGTTTACATGTTTATGTGTCTGTAGAAAATACAACTCTGATTCAAATAGAGCATGTGACCATGTTTTCGTTCCTCCCGAACCTCTTTTTCATATCTCAATAGATTTATCCAATCCTTCATTCCTCTAGAAGTACAAATATATATTAGCCAAGGCTGACACTCTTCTCCCATTCCATAGTTAATATCTATTCTCAGTTTGATTTCTGTGACCCATACTTGAGAAATCTTAACATTTCTGCGTCTGACTTCCATGCCCGGGTGTCCTTGGGCCAGTCTTGTACAGTAGACTCTGCTGGTTCATTCACTGCTGTCACTGTGACTGATGCAAGTGCAGGGCTGTGGGCCAGCCTTGGCCACCAGAAGCCTGGCCCCATTGCTATGATTAGAGAGGTTATTAGCACCAAAAGAACTCCCAATCCTAAGAAATCTTAAATGAAAAGTAAAGGCTGCTTTTGCTGGTAATCTAATTTGTTGAACCCTTGCTCTGACTAAGTTGCTGAGAAGCTTAGAAATTCTTCATCATGTTACAATAAATCATTTTACTTTCTTTTATATATCAGCTACTCTTAGGCCAGATAGCCTGAGCAGACAGACATGATGTGAGTTGTTCCAAGTGAGTCATCCCACCTGCTGTCTGTCGTGTTGTTGGATGGTGCTCGTGGGCCTCGGCCCAGTCAGTATGAGAGGTGGCTGTCTCTGTTTAACATGAGTTCTTTTGTATCTGTCCATTTATTCATTCTTTTTTGTTTTAATTTCATCTCCAGAAAAAGGAAATGTTAGAATGTTGTTTTACAAAGTTGCTTGCTGGTTATGTGGGTTTATGTTGTACATTTGCCTTTCGGTTTTTTGTATGTGACTTAGTCCTTTTTAATTTAGTGTTGTTTAGGACAAATTCTGTTAATTTTATTTTGATAAACCATAGTCTTGTACTTTAAAATGTAAATGTTCACTAATGAATTGCTTTGCATTAACTATGCAAGGGCATGGAGTGAAGTCTTGTTTGCAAGCGTGTCAGAGATTCGACCAAAATTCAGTTGATACCTACCGTCTCCCTTAAATTGAAGCAGTAATATTCTGTATGCCATTTTCCCTCCCTGGAAAACAGTATTATTATTTTTTAACACTTTTTCCTGTTATCTAAGGGGATGCAACTGTTTACAGTTGGGAATGCGGAAAGCCTGGCACTTTTCAAGTGCTAGCTTTCAAATACTACTTTGTCCTGAACGACATTAAAACGTTTTGTGCAAAAGAGATTAAGTCGCTTTGCAAGAGAACAGAGGCGGTAACAGTAACTCCCCTTTCTGCTTTCAGGACATTCACTGAACAATGCCAGGGATACAAGTGCCATGGATACTCTACCGCTAAATGGTAATTTTAACAACAGCTACTCACTGCGCAAGGGGGACTACAATGACAGTGTCCAAGTGGTGGACTGTGGACTAAGTCTGAATGATACTGCTTTCGAGAAAATGATCATTTCGGAATTAGTACACAACAACCTCCGGGGCGGCGGCAAGACCCACAACCTCGAGCTCACGCTCCCCGTCCAGCCTGTGATTGGAGGCAGCAGCAGCGAAGACGACGCCCTCGTGGCGGATGCCTCGTCCTTGATGCACGGTGACAATCCAGGACTGGGGCTCCATCACAAAGAGCTCGAGGCTCCGCTTATCCCCCAGCGGACTCACTCCCTTCTGTACCAACCCCAGAAGAAAGTGAGGCCCGAGGGAACCGACAGCTATGTGTCGCAGCTGACGGCGGAGGCCGAGGACCACCTGCAGTCCCCCAACAGAGACTCTCTGTACACGAGCATGCCCAACCTCAGAGACTCTCCCTACCCGGAGAGCAGCCCCGACATGGAGGAAGACCTGTCTCCCTCCCGGCGGAGCGAGAACGAGGACATTTACTACAAAAGCATGCCAAATCTTGGGTCTGGCCACCATCAGCTGCAGATGTGCTACCAGATCAGCAGGGGCAACAGCGACGGGTACATCATCCCCATTCACAAGGAAGGCTGCATCCCGGAAGGGGACGTTAGAGAAGGGCAGATGCAGCTGGTGACCAGTCTCTAACAGCACTGCTAAGGACCCCCGGGCCACACGCAAGTATTAGTACAGAAATAAATACAGACTCTCGGCCCAGGGCAGCTCCCTCACATTCTGCCGGAAGGGACCGCTCTGTTGACCTGTGGTTCTCTGGTGTAAAAAGCGCTCACTGAACCTCCTCGCAGTTCTGTGAATTTTTATAAAACGTACAAAAACTTTGTATATACACAGAGTATACTAAATGAATTATTTGTTACAAAGGAAAGAGATGCCAACCAGGTATTTTAAAATTCTGCTGCTGTTTAGAGAAATTGTGAAAGGAGCGAAACCCAACTTTCCAGCCATTCTGCTGCAGCAGTCTGTGAACTAAATTTGTAAATATGGCTGCACCATTTTTGTAGGCCTGCATTGTATTATATACAAGACGTAGGCTTTAAAATCCTGTGGGACAAATTTACTGTACCTTACTGTTCCTGACAAGACTTGGAAAGCAGGAGAGATATTCTGCGTCAGTTTGCAGTTCACTGCAAATCTTTTACATTAAGGCAAAGATTGAAAACATGTTTAACCACTAGCAATCAAGCCACGGGCCTTATTTCATACGTCTCCTCAGCTGTACAGTGAACTATTCTCATGAGAAATGGCTAAAGAAATTATATTTTGTTCTATTGCTAGGGTCAAATAAATACATTTGTGTCCAACGGAAATATAATTGTCATTAAAATAATTTTAAGAGTTTGAAGAGAATATTGGGAGCGGTCTTGGTTACACATAACGTTACAAACTTTTTTCTCACACCTCGTCATAGTAAGTTCTATCCATGCTCACTTACTTTCCACTGTAGACAGTGTCCTGCTTTGACCAGTTAGTCTCTATCCTTACATTTAAATTTCTTATTGCCAAAAGAACGTGTTTTATGGGGAGAAAACTCTCTGAAGCCAGGTATGCCATGCCTTGCACAAGTGTGGTGAAATCTCAGAGAGGTTGTGCGTTGACCCTCAGTTTATTCTTGAACAGAGGGCGAACGGGGCACTGGGCACTTCTCACAAACTTTCTAGTGAACAAAAGGTGCCTATTCTTTTTTTAAAAAAATAAAATAAAACATAAATATTACTCTTCCATATTTCTTCTGCCTATATTTAGTAATTAATTTATTTTATGATAAAGTTCTAATGAAGTGTAAATTGTTTCAGCGAAATTCTGCTTTTCTTTTCATCCCTTTGTGTAAACCTGTTAATAATGAGCCCATCACTAATATCCAGTGTAAAGTTTAACACGGTTTGACAGTAAATAAATGTGAATTTTTTTCAAGTAGCTAGTGTGCACTTTTATGGAAGCCGCGTAGTTGGCTTTGGTCCGTTGGTCCATTTCTTCACCTCCATTCCTTCGGTTTAAGTGGCTTCAGCCTTTCACTGTGGCTACCGTGGAATAAACACTTCCAACTGTCTTTCTCTATGTGAGAGAACAGAGATAAGTTGCCTCTTCCTTGTTCAGGATGAAAAGAACGTACATGTGTTCTGTAAGCGTAACGTACACACAGTGTCCAGCAGAAAAGCTTTGGTACTACTCCAGGGGAATACTCTGAAGGTAATTTTGTTCATGGCACTGTACGTCCACATACTAGAAAAGTAAGGCTCTACCATCAAATGTGGGCATCGTACAGATGATTTTTTAAAATTGATTTTTCAGTAGTGTACTGAGGAATTCCTAAAACACAGTTTTGCAGTTTGCGGATAAGTGTCCCTGTAGACTGCTGTGAATGACAAGTTTTGTTATCACAGAAAGGTTTTACTCTGAGTTGAAAAATCACATAATTGAATCTCAGCAAATAGATTGTCCTGTTTATAAACATTCATACCAAAGCTTAGTGGTTCTTGATTGCTTCCATCAAGCTAAAAATCACCTCGTGGACACAACGTGGCACGAGCAATTGAATTTTATAGAATTTTTTTAAAATTTTGTATTTATCCATCTAAAGATGGGTACAGTGAAGTAGACTAATGAAATATAAACATTTACAGTAAGGTAAAAGCGCCATGTATTTAGGAGGGCTATGATAAAGAATACAGCGTGTGTTTATGTTTTTTAAAAGTGTCACAGGGAAATTCACACTGTCATTAGTTCCTCATGACACCCTCTCTGGAACTCTGATCCCAGCTCTCTTGGCCCAGCGAGACAGTTCCATGAGTGGCTTCACAAGGCACAATCAGAAGCACAGTGACGGCTGCCGAGTGCCATCCAAAGGGAAGGCGGGCTCCTGAAACGAGGTGCGTCCTGCTTTGCCTGCTCGGCATGGTGTGGCGCAGCTCCTGGCTCGTACCCCAAATCTAAGTGACCATGAAAGGTCAGTGTTTGAATCTGTTGAGGACCTTGAAGCAGTCTTGACAACACAACTAAAGACACTCAGGAAGGAAACCTTCCAGAACTACTTCAGAAAGAGACGGGAAAAGTGGGCGCAATGTCTTTGAAATGAGGATTTTGAAAGGACTGATGAATATGTGACTTTTACTATAATAAAAGTTTTTTAAATTTAAGTGATTGTGGGCGGGAAAGATAGCTCAGTGGACTAAGCGCCTGCTTAGTAAAGTGCAGGGACCAGGGTTCCGTCCCTGGTACCGCATGCTGCACGGGCCCCGCCCCCCGCACGCTGAGCTGACCACCAAGTCCTGGTGTGGTGGCACATGCCTGTAACCCCAGCGATGGGTAGGCTGAAAGCTGAAGGATCACAAATAGTTCAAGCTGCATAGTGAGACCCTATACCAAATACAGAAAAATTAATTAATTTCAGTGGTCGCTGTAGTTTTCAATCAGACCCTGTGCATACACTATGCATGTAGATTTCTTCTAACAAATTACAAGTTACTCTCATTTCTCTGTAAGAAATAATGTTTCAAACATTCAAAAATGCTCTGACAATGAGTATACCTTCAGGGATTTATCAAACTTTATTTGCTGGAAGGGGGCATTACATAATCAAACATACTAATTTTCTATCTCATTACACTTTTTCTTTGCAGAATCTGAACCTATACATTATTGTGTGATAAATGTTCACCTGTAAGCTAGCTGGGGTCAGGCTCTTTACAGCAATGAACTAAAAAACAGTGTTGCTTATTCAGTCAGAACTCTGTTATGATATAAAAAAGTACATGGCATCTCATGGTTAAATTTCCTGTTTAGCCAAAGTAAGTTTTTTTAAAGGAGCTTTGTCCTATGGGATATAATTTGGAGGTTTTTGTACATCTTTGTCAGAAAAAGAGAATTGCTTTTAAATCTTATTTCTTTATAAAAACGTTAATATCACCTTAAATCTGAAGTACAGTTCCCACTAGTGTAAGATAGTTTTTATGCTTAACATTATTAAACTACTGAATGCCTTTTAGGGCCCATGTACTCATTATAACTCAGTGGGGTTTTCTTTCAGGGCTGGGGGTCCCAGACTTTGAACTTCTGGCTTAAAACTGACCTTTAATATGTTCCTGCAGAGTAGGCAGATTTGTAAAACTTTAACTCCATAAAATTTTTATCAGGTTACCATTCTCTAAATTAAGAGGGAAAAAAAAATGAGAGAATGTACACTAGCTGAATTTCTGAGAAAAGCTCGTCATGTTGATACTGAAATTTTCCTTAAAGACTCTTGTTGGAGGATCTTATGGATGGAACCAGAGCTCACACAGTCCTGGGCACCAGCTCGTTTTCTTCCTGGAAGATTATGGCTTTAGGTCACAGACATCAGCATGACAAGTTAGCAGCATGTAGAAGATGAGTGAGAATTACTTCATAGCACAAAAACTTGTGTCCTTTTGGGGAAAGGCTGTGTCACATGCTCTGTGGTAGTGAATTTCATGGTGATTTGAGTAGTCACATAGTACGGGCAGACTGCAAGTGTGTGTGTACTCCGAGATAATTCATGACAATCTTAATTATCATTTGGTTGGATAGAGATGAGAATTTCCTACTTCTTTCAGTTTATTTCTCCAAATGATCCATAGGAACACATACTAGCTATATACACCAAGCAGAAAACTTAGAATGTTTAAGAAAACTATCACATTTTTTTTTCTCTCTCTCTTTCTTTCTTTCTTTCTTTCTTTCTTTCTTTTTTTTTCCTATCACATTTTCAGCCAACAAGTTTTTACTTATTTCTTGAGCCTTGTTGCAAAACGTAGGATGCCGTGGAAACTCCTGGAAATGACCCAAGGTCATCTGAAGGCACGATGGCCACTGAGCTACTGTGTCTCAGAGGGCATTAACAGTGAGCTGTAAGAGCACCAGGTCGTTAAGCTAATTAGAAGTTCTTCTGAAGTGTTTTTCAAATATTAAAAACAGACTCCTCATGTCTTACTAAAGCTTCTTTGGAATCTTCATGTCTCCTGATGGTGTTACTGTTCAATGAATGTAGTTTCTCGGATATCTTCAGAGCCCTGTCTGGTATTTATTTATTTATTTATTTATTTATTTATTTATTATGTATTTAGTTCAGGGTCTACAGGGTCTCACTACACAGATCAAACTCCTAGTGATCCTCCTGTTTTCAGCCTCCCAAGAGCTGGGATTATAAATGCGCACCACCACACCCGGTCTCAGTTCTCTGTGTGTCCCGGAGGTGGGGCAGGCACAGCATGTTAGGGATCAAACCCGTGTCCCATGCCTGCCTAAGCAGGTGCTTTAGTCCACTGAGCTATCTGGCTGTCCCCCAGCTTGATTTTTAAAGCCTACTCTTTTTACTGGTGAATTTTTTCTGAATTAATGTATTGTGAAGTGCTGTCAGGTATCAGTGCTGGAATTTAACAGGTTTTTTGAAAGAAGTAGTTCTTAACTTCTTCTTCTTCTTCTTCTTCTTCTTCTTCTTCTTCTTCTTCTTCTTCTTCTTCTTCTTCTTCTTCTTCTTCTTCTTCTCCTCCT